ATTAAGTGGCTTTATCAGACATCTTAAATTGAGTTGGCTTCAAACTTTAATCAGTTTATGTAAACCCAATAATAACTTTTAAAATTTTGTTTTGTGGTTCATGGGCAGCATGGTGGTGCAACTAGTAGAGCTGCTGCCTCTCGACGAGCAGGTCACCCTGGTTCAAATCCCGGTCTGGGGGCCTAAATGAGTAGAGTTTGCATGTTCTCTCCGTGCATGCATGGGTTTTCTCCGGGTACTCCAGATTCCTCCCACAGACCAAAAACATGCATATTAGGCTAACTGGTAACCCTAAATTGTCCCTAGGTGAGAGACTGAATGGTTGTTTGTCATGTTTGTCTCTATTTGTCCCTGTGATGGACTGGAGACCTGTCCAGGGTGTCCCTTCCTCTCACACATTGATGGCTAGACATGGACACCAGTGATTCCCGCAACCCAAAAAAGGAAGAAGCGGGTAAAAAATAATGGGTGGATGGATGTAGATATTTTGCTAACACAGCAGGCACTCACACACCAACACCTATCACCTTTTTTCAGCCATAGTTGGAGTTTAAATCGACTACTCTCCAAACGCATACTGGGGGACACTATCTATGCTAACTGAGCTAAATCTGGCTAGTTTAAAGTAGTCAATTCAATTCAATTCAGTTTATTTATATAGTGCCAAATCACAACAAAGTTGTCTCGGGGCACTTTACAGGAACATTCACATACGTAAAAGCCAATTAGTAAAGTTCTCTATCTAAGGAATCCAGCAGACAAGTTGAATCTTGGCTTCGGTGCAGTCTCCCATCCTGAGCAAGCACAGTGGCAACAGTGGAAAGAAAAAACTCCCTTTTAAAATGAAGAAACCTCCAGCAGAACCAGGCTCAGGACAAGCGGCCATCTGCTTTGACCGGCTGGTTGAGAGGACAAGAAGGAGAGACAGACGAACATAGAATGGTAGGTCCAAGTATAGGTCCAGGTGTATCTGAAAGATAAAAAAACACATGTTAAGGATAGAAAAAATAATTACAAATACAAAACAGGTTGAGCAGAGTAAGTAAAGATAGTAGTAGAGTGAAAATTGTGAAAATTGTGGTCAGTTTGTCTTCCAGCAGTCTAAACCTATAGCAGCATAACTAAGGGACAGCTCAGGAAACCCAAGCCAACCCTAACTATAGGATTTAGCAAAAAGGAAAGTCTTAAGCCTAGTTTTAAAACTGGAAAATGTGTCAGCCTCACGGACAGAGATTGGAAGTTGGTTCCACAAGAGAGGAGCCTGAATTCTAAAAGATCTGCCTCCCATTCTGTTTTTGTAAATTCTAGGAACCACAAGTAAACCTGCAGTCTGAGAGTGAAGTGCTCTGTTAGGAAAATATGGAACAATAAGATCTGTAATATAAGATGGAGCTTGGTTGTTGAGAGCTTTATAGGTTAGAAGCAAGACTTTGAATTCTATTCTGAACTTGACAGGGAGCCAATGGAGAGAAGTCAAAACTGGAGAAAATGATCTCTCCTACTAACTCCAGTTAAGACTCTGGCAGCAGCATTTTGGATCAACTGAAGACGTTTTAAAGAAGTATTTGGACATCCAGATAATAAACCATTTCAATAGTCCAGTCTAGACGTGACAAATGCATTGACCAGTTTTTCTGCATCATTTTTAGATAAGATGTTTCTAATTTTAGTGATATTACGCAGGTATTAGAAGGTAAAGTAGCATATCTATTTTGGCTAAAACAGCTAAGATTTAGCATAGCCAGTTGTTTCAGTTGTTTTTGTCTTCTTTTTTATTAACTAACGTTTGCTATATCTACACATATTATAGTACTTTTGACAAACACAGGACCCAAGATGTTATAACTAAAAATTAGTTTTATGTAGCTAGCACGTGTTTATCTTAGATAACATGTTAGCTAACGATATAGCTAGCCAGAGTTGTTAGCACACAGCTAACAGAAATGTTCAGCTAGCATGTTTAGTTTTTTTTTTTAATCCTAAATAGTTCCTTCAGGCATTTAGCAGGGATTATATGGGGAAGCTCTAAAAGTTTTATTTTTTTATTTTCTCTTTCCAGTTTGGCTAATGTTGAAAAAATATATTTTCTTTAACTAGTGAGGCGTCAAAAGTTACGTTACAAATGAAAATGAGCAAAGCTAAAAAGAGGAAGCTTACACATGTAAGGTACGTTTAGCATCACTACTCATTGTACAACTTGGCAGATGTGGTAACACCGTACAGATGCTTAAGTACCTTGGCTGAGTGGTTAGAGCAGTCGTCCTCCAATGCGAGAGTTAGGGGTTCGAATCCACCAGTAGTCACATGCTAAAGTGTCCCTGAGCAAGACACTGAACCCCTCATAGCCTCTGATGTGTCCCATCGGATTCTGAATGTGATCTAAAGCACTGATTAGTCTCATTAGAATGATTTGTTCAATTAGCTTTGTAGAGATGTAGTAGAGTGCTGTATGAATGGGTAAATGAGGCACAGATTGTTGTGTAAAGCGCTTTGAGTATCTTGAAATAAGATAGAAAGGCGCTATATGGAGACAGTAATACATGCATTCATTACATCTAGGCTTGATTACTGCAATTCGCTCCTGTTTGGTATCAGTCAGACCTCCATTGCACGACTACAACTGGTCCAGAATGCAGAAGCACGATTTTTAACCAGTACAGGCAAAAGAGAGCACATTACACCAGTTTTGGCCTCACTGCACTGGTTACCGGTTCACTTTCGAATCCAGTTCAAAATACTCATGTATGTCTACAAATCACTGAACAGCGCCCCCCCCCCCCACCTCTCTGATCTGCTACACCCCTATGTCCCACCACGTTCCCTGAGGTCAGCGGACCAGTTGCTCCTCACAGTTCCAGGAACTCGTCTTAAGCGCAGAGGTGACAGGGCCTTCTCTGTAGCAGGACCAAGACTTTGGAACGAGTTACCTCTGCTTGTCAGACAGGCCCCCTTCCTCTCGGTTTTCAAGTCCCGTTTAAAAACTCACTACTAGTCAATAGCTTTCAACACAAGATGATCTGTGTTTTGATCCTGTATGCTCCACACTGGTTTGTCGTCATTATCTGCATCGGTTTTTGTCTATATTCTGATTTACCTCATTTTGTATTTTGCTTTGTGTGTTACCTGTTGTCCTGTCTGTACAGCACTTTGGTTGGCCTTGTTGCTGTTTTAAGTGCTTTATAAATAAAGTGGTATGGTATGGTATATAAGTACAGTCCATTTACCTTAACTTATTGTTAACCCAATCCTAATTTAATTTCTTTAAAGGTATTAAATTGGATCACCAGAAAAGGTCAAATTAACTGTGCTTTTTGCACATGTGCTGTGAGAACTGCCATCAGGTGCTTTCACTTCACATTAATGGTTTTCTTTGTCAATTTTCCTCATTTAAATGCAGAGCTGAGCAGAAGCAGGGAGGTGATGAGAGGAGAGCCGAGCAGCTGGAGCTGGAGGAGGTTGGAGGGCAGCTGGAGGAGCATGTGGAGGAGAGAAGAGCAGCGAGTGAGGAGTTACCTCACCTTTGACGTCAAATATATAAAAATCACTTTGCATATACCAAAACTCACTCAGACCTAGTTCTTACAGTTTAATATGAGGGCTGCAGCCAAATAAAACAGCATTAATATTTAAATGTTCTACTTTGGAGCAAAAGCCAATTAAATGCTTCACGGGGGATAACAAATTTCCTGCATAATCGTAATAAAACTGTTGTCTGAAGTCCAAAAATCAAACACTTTAACACACGAATGGCCCAATATACTGTCAAAAGTAACTAGTTTTATCATTCAGACTGGTTGGAAGATCTTTTTAGACATTCTTAGCGTAGAGAAACAACCACAGAGGGAATCACGATTTAAATGCTGAACATTTTGCTAATTGTGCTGTTTTTTTTTATTTTTATTTTTTTATTAAACCTTTATTTAACCAGATAAAAACCCATTGCAATCAAGACCTCTTTCACAAGGGTGACCTGGCCAAGAACAGGCAGCAGCACACGTCATAAAAAAACAAAACAAGTAGCAAGATTATGAAGACTTCAGAAATCTTAAAATATGTCTCGTTGAATTCAGCTCAGATGGAGCGCCAGGTTGACGTTCTAATCAAACGCAGTCAAGTACAGCCACTACTTTACTAAACATATAAATATATAAGATCAGTCATGAAATGGGGGTGATGGAGCCTCAGCCTTTGTGTACATTTGAGAAGGATTGGTTTAGTTATAAGGACGAGACTAGAAACTGTGTTGATCTCCTTAAATACTTTACAAGAAACTGAGAAAAAAAACTGAGACTCAGCTGAAAGTCTGAGTGACTGCCAACGAAAGTGTCTTAAAGACATCCTCAAAGAGTCAGTATAATAAAAGGACAGAAGTTCAGTTGACAAAACAGCATCAGAATTTATTTGATGATACCATGATACCGTACTGGATGGTGATTGGAGCCAGAAAGATCCACAACCACTCTAAAAGAACGCAAAGACGAAGTTCATGAGTGGATCAGACCCTGTCTTACATAAAGTTAAAAACACGTCCATACAATATGAAAGAAAATGTCCTCAAAGGGTTATTTATGCCAATCTTTGAAGAAAAAAAAAAGTTCAGTTTACGTTTCTTAAATCTAAAGATGAAGAGAAAAACATTTCTCGGTGCAATGGAGAGTTTTAGATTTCTAAGATTTAACCTCTCTTGTGTCACAGCTTCATTTACTGAAACGCTTAAAGCAGAGGTTTGTCTCACTTTGTGTTTTTCTACATCTTAAGTGGTCATAATTAAAATGTACTGCGACCTTTACTGAGCTTTTTCACATTTACCACTGAGCTGTTGTATAAATGCTTTACAACCACCTTAAAATACAATTTTTAATACAAGGAAATATGAGGAAATGTACATTTATTTGCGGCCATAAAGGGCAAACCTCACCAGTAACAAAGCCCACAGCACCACCTTGTGGCCGCAGCAGGGATTACAACCAGCGGATTAGCCCCGCCCCTTTGTTGTGTTTTCAGGAAGTAAAGCCGAGATGGTCCGTGAGGAGCTGACGGTCCGTCTTAATGACCAGGAGTACAAAAACTGGCTGAAGGCAGGTCGGTGTCTGCTCATCCTGAAGGATGTTCTCCACCCGTACACCGACCACCACATGAGAGCTTTCCACAAAGACCTGCTCAACCAGCACGCGCTGCTGAGGACTCCCTGCCGCACAGCTTCATGCAAACCAGCAGGGAATAAGGTATGATTATGAATCTAGCAAGGTGCAGGCAGGTCCTATGGAAGAATCCGTCCAGAGGACCTGACTCCACCTTACATGTATCTAGCTGGATTACTGGTCATCAGGACATACATGGATCTGTTGTTTAGTCGGGTGTGTGTTTGACCACATGACTCTTTAGTGATTTGTAAGTATGTGGGTTTGCAGCTTTCCTCGCCTTGCCGGGTGTGTTTAGAGTGGCAGAAGGTGATCCTGAGACACCACAGACACCCTGAGGCCGCCATCAACTGGGCCAACTGTTTCCCTCCATACTGGAGGACGGACCACTGGGAACTGGCCAAGGTAGCTCACACATCCATCAGTCAGTCAATGTGCACATCCACATTTTTTTTAAAGTCATTATTTAAGTTTTCAGTTCTGTTTCATCTGGTAATATATCTGGAAAAGAATATGTCATTATTAAAAAGATTTTTATTTTAAAAATAAAAAAAGAACAATGTGCAAAAATAAATAAACAAATAAATAAAGCACCTACAAGTCGTTCGTATGTTAATAAGAAAATCTTAGTTGTTTTTATTATTTGTTGTAGAATTAGACCACATGGTGTGAAGATCAACGTGAATCTGATGGAATGTGTGTGTATGTGTGTGCGTGTGTGTGTGTCCCTCCAGGCGTACATGCCCCGGGGTCAGTCCAAGGTGAAGGGTGCAGCCCAGTGCGACGCCTCTGCTCTGCTCAACCTGATCAGCTTCTGTAAATGTTTCTGTTGTGTGGACCCAAAGCTAGTGAGACAGGTAAACCCTCCTGAAAGAAGACTTCTAATGTCTTCTTCAGATTGTGTCAGAGGAAGCTGTAAAGGTTTAAAAGTCTCTTATCCAACAACAAACGTGCTTGGTCAGCAACAATGAAGTATAATATCCTGATGCATGCTCAATAATCCAGGTAGAAAAATCCAAAAAAGTTCAATCTGGTCCTCTGGACATTCAAAAAAAAACAAAAGAAAGCAAAAAAATATAGAAATGTTTCGTCTCTCATCCAAGAGACTTCCTCAGTCTGAGGTGCTGTATTCAGCTCAGTCTCTTAAATAGCACCTTCTCAGAGTGGATCAACCAGTTTGCGGCTGACAACCAAAACCAGCTGATCACATGCTCAAGAAGGACCATCAGCCTAACAATGGATCATTAGCACACTGATGGCTGTTTACTGTTCACAGAGGGCTGAGTGATACTAGCAATCACAGCATTGTAAGAGGGGGACAGTTGAGCCCGGAGGCCTCTACCCCGGTTTAATGATGGACGATTTCTTTTCACAAAGATGGCCTCCTTTACTCCTCTCTCAAACCATCGTTCCTCTCTATCCAGGATGTGAACATCTTCATCCCTGAAAGAGTGACCGCTGGCCTGGAGATGAGTGTAGACCGCAGAGTCCTGGCCTGATGATGTTGATCTTCTGTGCTGGTCCATCCTTTTGGCCAGTGGCTGTTTAGTTTCCCCGATGTAAGACTGATCACCCTCCTGACACTGAACA